CCCACCTCTAACCTTCTTAAGATTCAAACACCCTTTCCAAGATCTGTGCTATAATAATGGGTAACCATGTTGTGTGACGTTTTCCCTCCATGCTACCTCTTGCATGAGTCCGCTGGTCCATCTTCCATCCCTGTCTGATGCTTACAGAGGCTGAGAGTTGTCACTGCAGAAGGACATCTCTGTTAAATGACAGCCCCAGAATTTTTTTTTTTTGCAAAATGCAATCTGAACCATCCTTGGAAGGGGTGGAATTCAGCCGGTTCAGATCAGTTCTGGCATACCGGGAGCGGAAATTTTGACCAGTTTGGAGAACCAGCAAATACCACCTCTGGCTGGCTGCATCCATGCTGTTTCCTGTCCTATATTCCCTTGTTTTTATCTCAGCTGATTAGCATGGCAGAGTGGATTGCTGTGCTTTAGCTGAGCTAAAAAAAACAGCCCAGCTCACCTCACACAGCTCACACAGAGCCCTGCTCATAGAACCAGTAAGAAACCATTTGGAAATCCACCACTGATCCTTGGCATTTTCCCCGTTCATCCCATTTCACAAGACCGGCTTTTAAAAAAAGTTTTGTTTCCTACAAAAAAAAATGGCCTTTCCTTCCTGGTTTTTTTTTCCTCCTCCCCACACACTATAGATACAGATGTTTTGCTTATTCCTGTCTGGAATCTCTCTTTTCTTTTTTTTAAAACAGGGAGTGAAAATGCTCTTGAAAAATTTACAAACCATCTGGCTGGTATTTAATTTTAATTAGGCTGACAGTAGGAAAATAAATTTCTTTTTTTTTCTTGTAATTAAGTTAGCCAGCCAAACAAGTGTATTCTTGTTAAAGATGCGACGATACTCCCTTTGCACCAAAGGGCAATTTGGAAAATGACTCCTATTCTTTATTGATTAGGAATGTTCTCCTCTTTAGATCTCTAAGGACATTTGGCGTGGTGTTCAGCTGGTAGAGAAAGCTCGGAATGAACAAAAGAAGTTGGATGTTGTTAGCTCAGACCAAAGAGACCAACATTTTTACAGAGTTGTTTTATATTCCACAAAGACATTGTCCAAAAGCTTAAGAGCTACCTCACTCACTGAACATACAGTGAAAATCTTTGGCCGCTTTTTTACCCCAAAGGACCAGACATTGTGGTCATAATTTTGAGCTACCTTGAATTTTGTTAGGGTTGACTTCTGAGCCTCTCTTGCCCCACCTATTGTCCAGTTGTGGACTATACAGCCTGTTATCTGAACATTCTGCCAGCATCTTTTCACCCCGTATGTCCGGCCCACCATAACAATCTTTAAACAAATTTAAGAAAGGGAATGCCACCTTTAGAGGTGGCTTTGGGTCTGATCAATCAATGGTGCTGTTAAATCCAAAATCCAGCTGAATGAAATAAGCTTCAGACTTGTTCCCGAACATAACATCTACATCTCATAAGTGTCCAGAGTTCTAATAGACATCAGAAATGCTTTTTGTTTGGATCCCAGCTTACTCATTTAGATACACGGAAATGAGCTTTTTGTGAGAAGGTAGATCCAATATTTATTTTGCCATCATTGCTGTGCTGCAATACCTCAACTCGAATTATCCTTGTCAACAAATCAAAAACATGTCAATACCTTCCATTGGGCAACCCATTTGCTTGGATCTTCTGATTAGGACCCTTCGGTAATTTATCATTGCAATTATATTTTCACATGAAGCCTTCTGTATATTAAAAAAAAAAATACACATTTGCCCCCAATCAATGTATTTTAGTTTTCCATAATTTAGTAATAAAACAAGGCCCTCCCTACCCTTTCTCCACTTTACCCTTCCTTCTATTTTATTGTCTTCCTTGGCATTGACTGCTCAGATAACCTTCCCAACTTGTTCTGATTTATGATTTAATTTCATTTGCTCTTGTCTTGGTTTTTTATCGTGGCATTGAAAATAGAGCATGCAGTTGGTATTGCTTACCATAAAATCATATTTTCAGTCTCTGGCAAGGGTATCCAAAAAGGAAAAGAAATTAGGCTGTCCTGGTCCTTTGAGCAATAAAAGTGACATCATCTTGAGTTAGGACATCAGCTCGTGTTACAAAGGTCATTTTGTGGAGAAAATGGAGACTCTGCCCATTAAAAGGATTCCTCTATGGGTGGTAAGATATCTGAGGGTAGCACCTCAGGACACTGCAGACCAGGGTTATTACTTCCTGAAGGACACAGAAAAAAATGGAGGGGAATAGTCAGGAAACTGAAGACACTGGAGACCAACTCCCATAATGAATGGTTGCAAGATCTGAGTGTAATTTGTCCTGGAGATGAATGAATGGGACAAAGCAGAAGTCTGAAACATTTCCAAAGGGTGATGATAGAGAAGATAGAAGAGACATGTTCTCTCTTGCACTAGAGGACAAGACTAGCATTTAATTTTAAGGAAGAGTGAAAGTCCAACACTTGAAGAACTAGAAGATCTTCAAGATTCTTTCCAATGCTATTATTCTATGTTTTATGTTCTACGTTTCAAGAAATACAACAGGAAGAATGAGCAGAACCCAGGAAAGGAGATGAGGTGGAAGGAAGTGTGAAAAAAAATGGAGGATATGTCAAGTATCTGAACACTTCCAAGCTGAACAAGACCAGAGATTCTTTGGAATCATTCTAGATCCAGGAAATGTTTCTCAGAGAACTTTGTCATGGAATCCATGATTAAATAAGAAGTTGGTACAGATGACCATGGAGAACATAAGCCACCAAATACCCAGAGATGTTGTTTCACTTCTACTAATTGTAAAAAAGGATCGGGATTTAGCATAGAGGGATGCTTCTAAATTAATCCATTTTAAATGTCTCTACTCAGAATATTTTGTATATTATTAAATAACATATCAGTAGCTACAATAATAAGGTATTTCCATATTTCCTATTTCTGTTGAATTTAGTCAAGGGAAATTAACATTGCAATAAAGATTAGATTATTTTTTGTTTTAAGTCTCAAATGATTAAAAAAACCCACAAGCCAATCTTTTGCCGTGTGTCTAAATTCAGCAAGGGAAAATTATTCACAGTGTTTTGGGGAGTTTTCAGAAAATAAATTTAAGAGGAAGGCAGAGACAGAAAAAAAAAAGCTTGCTGTATCAAGGATATACTATTTGAATGCGGCTGCCAAGCAGTTGAATGTAAACAAACCCAGTGATAAAAGCAAAATATGGAGAGAATTGTCTCTTCAGATATGTCTTCCCATCCTTAATGAGACTTTGAGCAAGCCATTAGCCAAATTCACTGCATTTTCCAAGACAAATTTCTTCAGTAAGCAAAAAAAAATGGCATATCTGAAATGTCTATTAATTATACATATCCCCTGTACACATAAGCATTTCTCAAGCTTTAGAAGAACCTTCTTCCCAGCTGAGGAGGAGCAAGGGAGAGGCAGAAATGTGCAAAGTGTGTAATAGAATACTGAATATGGTGTGTTATTTGTGAATTATTCCTGGGAATGTGGTTGGCCTCTGTGAATGACCACCACTGTCAAAAAGGGGTCCTTGCTTTCTCCATTGGGTGAGTCTTGGTCTTCTGAATAGCATCACAAGAGGAATATCCTTTCCTTGTTTCCCCTGGCAAGTCCAGAGAAAAGTAGGAAATCAAAGAGGTTGAGGGGCCACTCACGATGAGATTCTTCAAGAAAGATCATTTAGACTAACTCTTTCTCTAGAAGGTGGGTACACACCTGATCCCCCCCTGCACTGAAGCTTTCCTGTCCTGGGAGAAACCAATGAAGGTCAGTGGGGAAAAAAATAGGACACCACTGGAGAGGTTTAGAACTTTTGTTCTTGTTCTGTGGATGTCATAAGGGTCTCAACTTGAAGCTGAACTGGGGAAAAAATGCAAAAGAGTTATGTAGGGCAGTGATCCCCAACCTTTTTTACGCCGCGGCCCGGTATCCCCAACCTTTTTTATGGCGCGGCCCGGTACCGACATCAGCTGGGCACCGCCATCTTGTTTTGATGAAAAAGTGCTTCCGGTGAGCTTTCTACCCAGAAAAGCTCACTGGAAGCACTTTTTCATCAAAACAAGATGGCGGCGCCCAGCAAGCCAGCGGCCCGGTAGGACTTGTTCCACGGACCGGTACTGGTCCGCGGACCGGTGGTTGGGGACCCCTGATGTAGGGTACCACTCAACATGCATGCAGCTTGAAATGTTGGCCAAAGTACTTTCAGAGCAGAAATGTATTATGGGAATTCGGTCAGGAATCTTATAAATGTGGGCGTGATCCTATGGTCACCATTTATCACTAGGAAAAACCTAGGGAAATTTGTGGTGGGGCTCCTCCTCCTCCTCCCCCTCCCCTTTTCTTTACTCTGCAAATTCCAAGCCCCTCTAACACTGATGATGATTCCTAGTTGGGTAATGAAGCATTGGAAAGAAAACAACCAAGATCAGAGAGCATTAAAGTCCTCCCAGTCCTTCTCCTCTTCCTTTTCTCCTCCTCCTCTTCCTCTCCTTCCTCTGATTCTCTCTCTCTCGTTTTTTTTTAGCAAATTCCTTCCCTCCCCCCCCTTTTTTCTTTCATTCCCTCACTTTTTTGGATTCTTGCCTTTCCTGTCACTCACAGACAACAGCAGAACCAGGCTGTGATGTCTTGACATCACCCAAATTGTGGGTTCTTCTTCTTTTGTTGTTTGGGAGAGCTGAGATTAATGTGTTAAGCCTCTCTGAACTTTTACACTGTACGCCTCAGGAGCTCCTAAGCCATAATTCCGATTTCAGCAGATTGATTTTAGAGGTCTTGCCGGGTAGTGGTGGTGGTGGTTGATTTTTACGAAGATCTCAAGAGCTTCCGAATGTGATTTGCCATCTTTGCAGTTGAGGTTGGCATTTCAAGGGACCGATCTATATTTTGTACATATCTACTTTGCAACATGTTTTCCTCTGTGGAGCGAAGATATTTACACCTCGTCTAAACCAGGGGTCACCAACCTTTTGGACCTCAGGGACCACCAAACTCATAATTTTAGATCCCAGGGACCACTAACTGGTTCTGTGGGCATAATTTGTGGGTGTGGCCTGGTGGTAATGTGACTGGCTGGACATGGTTTGTATGTAAATATTATAAATATTTATATAAATATTGAATTTTTTTATAAAAAAAGAACAACTTTTACCCAAAACCAGACAAAGCAGGCAGGCAGATTGAGTTGCTCACAGAATCACAGATTCATTCAGAAATCTATCTATCTGCCATTGGCTAGCTCAGTATGTCACATAAAATTTGCTTGCAAGCAAACTCACAAAATTAACTCACAACACACCATGTATGTAACTATTGGATTTTTTATATATAAAAAGCAACTTTTATGCAAAATCAGGCAAAGCAGGCAGATTGAGTTGCTCACGGAATCATTCAGTGATCTATCTATCTGCCATCGGCTAGCTCAGTCTCTCAAATTTGCTTGCCGTGAGTCTGCACTGAATTTGCTTGCAAGCAAACCTTCAGTCCTAAGGGAGGTTCGGCTGTGCTTAGCTAGAAAACAAGAAATCCAACCATTCCCTCTTTCCTAGCTAATCTAAATCTCCCGGCACAACAGAACAGATGATGGTCGGAAAAAGGAAAAATAGCAACTTAGCAGACAAATAAGGAGTGAGTGGGCAGGGAGGGTTCCCGTGGGCCATGTGGGCGCGCAAGCCTTGTGTTTCTGTGCAGCCTGGATTAATTGCTTGGGGGGGTGCTCTGGGGGTGAGATTTCTCTGCGGCCCACCAAAATTTTCTCATGGCCCAGCAGTTGGCGACTGCTGGTCTAAACCAAGGGTCTTCAAACTTGGCAAGTGTAAGACTTGTGGACTTCAACTCCCAGAATTCCTCAGCTAACATGACTGGAGGAGGATTTCTGGGAGTTGAAGTTCACAAGTCTTTTTTTTTTTTTTAATAAAAGTTTTTATTGATTTTAACGACAAACAAAAACACAAAAAACATAAAACATAACATAAAAAACATCATCATTCTTCATATATTTACAGACAGTGTATCGGTTGGTTTACCACTCCTTTTTGTGCATCCATTCCATAGTCATCATAATAATTATATTACATAATAACTCATATTATCGATCAACAATTATATATCCTAATATCATTATTAAACAATCATTTGACTATAATTTTACTAATTCATACTTAAGCGAGATAACTGTAATTTAGTTACTTTATTTTATAACAAATCATAAAATCATACCAAGTCTATCTTAATAAAATATTCTAAAAGTGTTATCAAGACCAAGAAAAAATGTATATTCGTTATTTCCTAAATTTCTAACTATTCTATTATTATATTGTATTATCTAACCATTGATAAAAAAGATCCCAAACTTCATAAAATTGTTTATCTTCTTGTTCTCTAATTTCAAATGTCAATCTACTCATTTCAGCACATTCCAATATTTTCTTAATAATTTCTTCCTCTAATGGTATTTTCTCACTCTTCCAATTTTTAGCAAATACAATCCTAGCCGCTGTTAATACATTTACAATCAAATACTTTTAAGTTTTTATTATATGTATCAGGTAAGATTCCCAATAAAAAAATCTCAGGCTTCAAATCTTCAAAGTTCACAAGTCTTAAAGCTGTCAAGTTTGAAGACTCCTGGTCTAAACTGTCACACCATATCTTCTGTTTTATCCCCATTTTCCACCAGGAGCAGTGGTAGTATTCGATCGGTTCGACCCGGTTCTGCCGAGCCAGTAGCAGCAATGAGTAGCGGAGACCGAACCGCTTCTCTCCGTCGCTCTGCTGTTGGGCCCACCCGCCTGCCTGGGCTCTCGTACTCACCTTTACCTTCTGCTTTTGAAGCGCAGCTGCTGTGCGTGGCACAGAAGAGTGCCGCGCAGCACCTGCTGGAGCAACTGGGAGAGTCTGGGCTTGCAGGAGGCGAGTTAGAATGCCTCTGCACCTGCGCAAAGCACGCGTTCATCGCATGCATGCAAAGTGTGTGCACACACAAGCCACGCCCACAGAACTGAGGGTAAAAATATTTGAATCCCACCACTGACCAGCAGGCCCTTTTTTTCTGGACTCTGAGAGTATAAACCAAGCTTTATTCCAATGATCAAACCTGGCTAATTCCAACAATTGAAAGATTTGAAAACAGGCTTTCAGAGGGCAGATTAAAACTATAGTACAGCTTTTATTTTTCTTGAGTCAGACCTAGTCTACCCTGGGGCTAATGTAGTTTGAAAAGAAGATGGATATTTTTTTTTTAAAGGAATGAGAATGACCTGATTTAGTTATGGGTAATCCTTGACTTACAGCAGTTTGTTTAGTGACCATTTTGAACAATGGTGGGATTCAAATTGTTTTTACTACCGGTTCTGTGGGCGTGGCTTGGTGGGCGTGGCAGGGGAAGGATACTGCAAAATCTCCAGTCAGAGGTGGGATTTGCTGGTTCTCTGAACTACTCAAAATTTCTGCTACCGGTTCTCCAGAACTGGTCAGAACCTGCTGAATCCCCGCTTCCTTCCCTTTGTTCCTCTCTTCCTTCCCCTTTCATTCCTCTCTTTCTTCCCCCTTTGTTCCTCTCTTCCTTCCCCTTTCATTCCTCTCTTTCTTCCCCTTTTGTTCCTCTCTTCCTTCCCCTTTCCTTTCTCTCTTCCTTCCAGTGGTGGAATTCACATTTTTTTTACTACCAGTCCTGTGGGCATGGCTTGGTGGGCATGGCAAGGAAAGGTTACTGCAAAATCTCCATTCCCTCCCCACACCCACTAACCTGCTTTCCAGCTCCGTTCTCCTGTGCAGGGCAACCAAAGAAGACCCAGCCGATCAGCTGGGACTCAATGGGAGGCAGAGAAGAGATGGGGGCAGGGCCGGTCAGAGGTGTTATTGGCTGGTTGTCTGAACTACTCAAAGTTTCCACCACCGGTTCTCCAGAAATGGTCAGAACCGGCTGGATACCAGCTCTGTGTTCAAAGTTACAATGGCACTGAAAATAGTGACTTAGGACCATTTTTCACACATACAACCATTGCAGTATCCCCGTGGTCCCATGATCAAAATACAGACCCTTGGCAACTGACTCGCATTTATGACGGTTGCAGTGTCCCTAGGGGGGGGTCACATAATCCCCTTTTGTGACCTTCTGACAAGCAAAGTCAATGGGGAAGCCAGATTCGCTTCACAAACCGTGTTACTAACTTAACAACTGGAATGATTCACTTAGCAACCGTGGCAAGAAAGGTCGTAAAGTGGGGCAAAGCTCCCTTCACAAACATCTCACTTAACAAGATAAATTTTGGGCTCAATTGTGGTTGTATGGCAAGGACTGCCCGTATTTCTATTTTCTTGGCTTTAAGGGTATCCTTATACTGATAAAGTGGGGTTTTAAAACCTTCGAATTAATTTCAATTGGCAATTTGAATTAATTCCAATTTTGCAATTTGCAATTTTCTTCTCCTCCCTCCCTCCCTCCCTCTCTCTCTCTCATATGTAAGTCATATTTTAAAAAAAAATTCACAGGAATTTTGGGTGTAGATGATGTTGATATTATTATTATGGCTGTGTGTACGGTACTTCCACAATCCTCAAATACGGAGATGCAATTTTTTGATATTAATGTTTTTGTGTTCCCTTTGTCAACTACACATAATAAATGCAGGGGAAAACATCCATAAGCCATTTTACCGGGGGCGGGGGGGGGAAACCACAGTTAACGACAGTTTGCAAATACAATGGGAACATCGCAAAGCAAAAAATAAAGCTGCAAACGATTATTCTTCCTTTTATCTTTTGCCCCCGAGAACCTATTGCAGATTGGAGCAGCGAGTTATTTAAAACACACTCTTTATTGGTGAGGTTATGTGTGATACATATTTATGTGTAAAGACTTTATTTTTCTTTAACGGGTTGTTAGTCACTTCAAGGTGAGGTGGTCCCAGAGGCATCCCCAAACTCTAAACAATGATTGGATTTTGAGGGTAGGAGCCATTCGTTCACTTGGACGTTTGCTTTGGCAATCAGAATAGTGATAGCAGCAAATATTGGTAGCAAGGGGTTGAACTGTGGGATCCTTGGGGATCACTTGCAGATGTTTAAGTACCCAAGTAGGGAATGTCCTCAGTGCTAGAAGGGAGTGGGGTTTGTGGAGTGGGGGAGAAGAGGAGGAGGAGGAGGATTGTGGGGTCCCTGGTGCTCTCTGAGTCTGGTGGTTTTCTTGCAAAAGTTTCATGAACCAACTAGGAAATATCTTCAGTGCTAGAAGTGAATGGGGTTTCTATAATGGAGAAAAGGGGGAGGGGGAGGGGGAGGAGG